TTGCAGGGAAGTTATCTTACTGTGGCTAGCCAATTCATAACAGTGGTCCTCCCAAGAACTACACGTCCCAGGCAGTACAATCCTTAGTCAGAAGCCAAATTAGAGGGTAACAAAATAAACAATTCAAGTAAACAAAAATACAAGAAACTAATATTTACAAGTAACTATGTATAACTATAGACAGAAATTATGTAAAAAAAAATTATCATAAGAATTATGGGTACCCTTGAGAATGAGAAGCACTGGATACTATGCCCACAGTATATGTCTAATCTGTCATAATGAATGACCTTAGGTTTGGAATTGGTGAAACTTACGGATCCATATCATGACGTCATTCAGTCTATTGAGAATTGTATAGGGACCTTCCCTACACGACTGCAGTTTGGAAGAAATAACCTTACAATGACTCGGATTCCAGAATCACCTCTTGTCGTTTTCCTGGAATTGATGTTTGTTGGCTTTTGCGTCATATCTCCTCTTCATCTTGTTCATTGAGATGTTGATCTGCTCCTGGGTAAACCTGTGTATCATTTTCAACTGGGCCTGAAGGTTTTGCACATACTCATTAGGCGAGGAATTTACATCCAGAGGGCAGCCGAAGAGCTGGTCACTTGGCAGACGGAAATCGCGACCGAAGAGCATCTGTGATGGAGAATAGCCGGTGCTTTAATGGACAGCGCTACGGTAAGCAAGCAGAAACAAGTGAAGCTTGTGATCCCAGTCTTCTTGATTCTTGGAAACCATGAGCGAGAGTTAGTTCAGAATTGTACGCCTAAACTTCTCCACCATACCACAAAACTATGGATATAAGGGGGTTGTCTGTGTTTTCTTGTTTTCCAGTAAGTTGCAGAGTTCTTTGAACATAGCCAAAGTTTCTGCCTTGGTCAAATTGAATCTAGAGGGGGTCCCAAATCTGGACACACAGTTCTGTAACAGAACTTCAGCTATTGTGACATCTTCTTGGTCTGGAATTGGGTACACTTTGGGCCACTTACTGAAATAATCCATCACAATGAGAATATATTTGTTGCCATCCATGGTCTGTGAAAAAGGTCCAAGTATGTCGAAGGGAATTTTCTTGGAAGGTGCTCCTAAGTTGTATCGCTGCAGCCTTCCTAGGGTACGTCCCTTCAGCCCTTTCTTGGCTGCACAAGCATCACAAGATTGGCACCACTTCTCCACATCAGTTCTTGCCGAACTCCAGAAGAAGCGTTCTCGAACCTTGTGTAGGGTCTTCATATAGCTGAAATACTCTCCTGTTGGGCTGCTGTGTATTTCCTTCAGAACATCAGGTATTCAATTTCGAGGCAGCAGCAGCTGCCATCTTTTATTAATTCCATCGTCACTTTCCCATAGTTGATTTTGAACTCCCATTTTGGAAGTGAAGCGCATCCCAGAGAGCCCAGTACCTTTAAATGGTAAACTGAAGATGGAAATGTCTTCCTATTTGGCTTTTGTACTGGATGATTCCATAAGCTCTGTTATTGGCTTAATATCAGGATCCACCACTTGGTCTTCTCTAACTTTTTCATCATTCCACAGATCTTACGAATTTTTGTTTATTTTCTGTTAATTTATGCAGAGGCCTTGCAGTGTTGGAGATCGCCTTCACGGTACAGAGTCCAAGGAAGCTTTGTAGTTGCTGAATATCCACAATTTGTTTCCAGTCCTTTATTGCTGACACCTTCCCTGGATCTGCATGACACCTGTGGCAGAGATAATGTGTCCCAGATAGGTGACTTCATTGCAGAACAACTTGCATTTCGAAGGACTCAGCTTGAGCTTGCCTTCTTTTAATTTCTGCAACATCTTCCTGATATTTTCTAGATGTTCCTTGAAACTACAGCCCACTATAATGATGTCATCTAGGTAAACCGTAAGATAGGTCTTGAAGCACTGTCTCCGTCAGGTGTTCAAATGTTGCAGGGGCATTACAGAGGCCAAATGACATAATTTTAACTGTCAGAGTCTTTGGCTGGTAATAAACTCAGTTTTCTCTCTATCATTGGGGTGAATTTCTACTTGCCAGTATCCGCTCTTGAGTTCCAGAGTAGAAAACCACTTGTGCCCTGATAGGGTGTCTAGAGCATTGTCAAACCTAGGAAGAAGGTAACTGTCTTTCTTAATGATATTATTTAGTTTTCGGTAGTCGACAAAATATCTTGTCAAGCTGTCTTTCATCTAGACGAGAACTATAGGAAATGTGCATGGACTTGTGGATGGTTTGATGATGTCATTTTCTTGCATCTTTTTCAGAAGATTTCCAACCTCTTCCTGTTTTTACAAATGGTAGACATCTGGGATGTTGCTTGATCGGAGAGTGATCCCTTGTATCAGTTCAATGTTGTGTCAGCTTTGTGTGGCCAACATCTGTGGATGTTCTAGAAAATAGATTTTTAGATTCTTTAATTGTTTTCTATGCCGCACGTCTTTGTTTGTTGGTTAAGTTTTCACTCTACAGGAGTTTATCTGTTAATTTCTGAGTTGCCTCAGTCGGAATTTCAGTTGAGGCTTTGTAAATGCAAGTAACTGGAGTGCATATTGCTGGCAACTTCACCCTTTTTGATGGTTCTCGGTCTGTGGCTAACATTCGCCACTCTCATAGGGATGAAGTCTCTCGAAAGGTCTACTAAAATTGAGGGCACTAATACATCTCTTGGGCTATTTTCTGGATATTTGGTTATTCCATACATGAGGCCGTTGTTTTCTATGGAGCCAGTTATTAATAATTCTGTCATCGGAGGGCTGGTGACATCTATTTTTATTATTATTTGGTGAGCTGAAGGAATGCTGTTTAATTTCAAACACAGTTACATCTTACTTTGTAGAGTGCATCTCATTATGTTTAAAGTCCAGTGTAAAGTCATAATTCTGCAAAAAGTCCAGTTCGAGTGTTAATTGATCCGCGATGTTAGCAATGAAAGCCAAATGCTGGTAGGTCTCATTTCTGAAGGTAGGTAATGGTGATTTTAGTTTTATCTTTGATTGGAATCTTATCATCTGTTACTGTTTTTAAAGTCACACAGGGTGGAGTCCAGTACAACATTTTGTTCAATTCCTGAGCTACATCTGTTTTAACGATGGTTACATTTGCTCCTGTATCTATGATCATCTTACAAGGATGCTTATTTACGTAACCTTCGATTAACAGTCTATTATCTCTGCTGCTCATTGAAGATATCTGAAGAACTTTCAGAGGGGCTGCAACTCTACATCGCAACCTCCACTCTGTGAGATTGCCTCATTTTGGTTTCCCTGGTTTTGTTTTGCGAGGGGTTTCTCCCGCTCTTGATTCACGTGACAGTTCCTGCAGAGATGTCATTCCAAACTGCAGTTTCAGCATTTGATTGTTTTCTTTTCAATATTGCTTTTATTCGGTCAAATCTCTTTTATTTGTTCTCTCAGTTTTTGTGACATAAAAATTTCGATCTTCTATTTGAGTCGCTCTAATAGTGTGGTGATCTTTTAGAGTTATTTGTTGAGCTGACTCGAACTTCATGGCATAGACCAAACTGGATTTTAGGTCTTTCAAATCTGGCAGTATGAGATCCTTCTGAATTTCCACATTCTTGACTGCATCTGCAAAATGCATCAGGGTCAAATTTTTGCGGATATCAAGTGGAGAGTCTGGATATGCTTGATGTGCCAACCTCTTGATGTCATTCGCCAGTTCTTGAAGGCTTTCCGTGATTTTCTGCGTGTGAGTTTTCAACTGCAGGTGGCTACAGTCCTGTATGCACTTTTTTTTCCAAATTTCAGTTCCGGTGCATTCGAGAGGGCGTTGAAGTTTGAAATCTGTGCTTCGGAGAAGACTCATAAGATATCTGCAACATCTCCTGGGAGTGATGCGGCCAGCTGTGGAGCCTTCATGTCGTAGTCCCACTCTCTCACATGTTAGTTTCTGCCACCATCGAAAATTGGATCTTATGTACACTCCATGATGATTTTCCATCATATGTGCTTGGTTATGAGAAAAAACTGGGGGAACCTTGAAACCTTCAGGTTCATTCATGGACTCAGTCTGGTTTTCTTTCAAAACATCTACTTCTTTCTGGAACTTTTTCAATTTTTTTTCAAATCTTTCTATTTTTGCTCCCATTTCCTCTCTAAGCTTTATGATATCACATTTAATCTTATTTTGTTTCACTTCCATCTGTTGGAATTTCTCTTGCAGGTTTTCTTGTCCACCTTTTATTTCCTCTTGACCCGATTTTAATTCACTTTCTAACTTCTCTTGTCCCGCCTTGATCTCTTCCTGTCCGGCTTTCATCTCAGGCTTCATCTCTTCCAGTCCGCCTTTTACAGCTGCTAGGAAGTCTGTCAACTTCATTTCCTCTGCCATGGCTTTCTCCTGTAGGCAGGTCATTGGCATTCACTTGCAAATTCCACTCCTGACACCAGTTGTTACATTCTACAGGTTCATGGATTTGGAGTGATTGACGTCAACACTTGATGAAGTATCAAAACATAATGTATTTGCCAGTATTACTCAGGACAGTTACCAAAGCATATTTTCAATCATCAAAAAACTATGACAAGCATACTGAAACAATCAGCAACACTGCCTTCAGGCTATAGCGGTGAAGACAGCTTCACGGGAAAACATTAAATATAGCTCCCGACTCGGTCAGTCCTTCTAAGGCTCACAATTCACTCAACGATGCATTACGATATATTGCTACTCTGTGCACAGGCAGGGTTTATATAGCTTTTGGTCGGCCTTTGAGAACATTCTGCTCCAAACCAGTAAGAATTTGTTCTCGAATGTTCTTTATCTGTCTCCGTCATATCACCAAATGTCGCCAAATCTGGCATCCTCGCCTTTCCTTGCCATATTCTGTCAACCCTGAACCCACCTTGTGGGAAAGCTATCTTACCACAGCTGGATATTTTGCAATAATATAATTTAACCTTTTCTTTACCTATAATTTTTTTCACCTTAAATACTCATTATGTTTTTGTGTTTCATTTTTCAAATTAGTAATCTGTTTTTGTAGTCAATTTCTCCCAAAGAGTACAAGATGGATGATGATGATCCTACTGAAGATAATAAAATGATCCTTGCGTCTGCAACAGATGAATTTGTTTTGTGTCAGGTATGTAAATTTATTTTCTTTAATTTTACATGCGACTTAAAAGCATATGAAGTGATATATAATAATTTATATTATCTGTAGCTTTGATTGAATTATGAAAAGAATCTTGGCAACAGATTTTTTGTAAAAGAAAGTTGTTATTTATTTTTAAGGTATTTAACATTATTCTTATTTATTTTTAAAGTATTTATTATCATTAGAGATATCTTTAGTTTTGTATTTCTAAAATTTTTGAGCCATTATTTAACCACTTGTCAGCCACATGACAAGATTAGCATGGCCATTGCACAAGACATGATTTTTATCTTCCATGAAGCCTGGTAAATAGCCAGTTTTCAGTCTATTGTTATTCAGCACAATATAAAATCTTTAATTTATTTTTCATATCTTAACTGCTAAATGAATTGAGGGATTTGAAAGCAACGGATAAAATTCTTAGTAATTAAGACCTTTATTTAATTATTGTATAGTTTGATATAATTTAAAATATGTTTAACTTGAACCAGATAATAATAATGAATATTAGCAACATTATTGTTACTAATAAAATGTTTTTTTTTGTTAACATATATCCTGTAATCCATTTTTAATAGTAATACTAACTCACATGCAGTATTTTTCAAAATTTTCATAGGATTAGAATATTATCGTTCATATCCTCCTAGATTTTGCATATTGAAATTTATAAAGTTTAGGCTGAATGATGAGAAATAGTATCTATTGTTACGTATCCTGTCTGACAAATTAATGGAGTGAGATAATAAAATAAACACAAAAAAGTTTAAAAGATTTATTTAACAGTTTTGTGATTAATTGGTAGATATTGGTATGAATCACAGAAAATCACAGTTTCCAGGCAAATAAATATACAAATCATATGCTACCACACTCTTAATACAGTATTAAAAGTGAGGCTTTTAATATTTCAAGTCCATTAGCTGAAGAATTTCATCTTACCATTTTTCTGATTTCTTGTGTATTTTCTTTACTTTTGGCAGCACATAATTCTTAATATTCATCAAATGCTACTTTCTGTGCATAATGCATAAATTTCATGTTATAGTAAAACAACAACTGAAATATATTTGGGAAAAACATAAAAATATTCATTGTGTTTTCTTTAACCATTTAAAAGAAAGGAGGCAGCAGGCACTATTATTATAGTTGCTATACATTATTTTGAGCAAACATGTTTTTAAAATGTTTGTTTATTTGCATTTCAAATAATGTTATGAATAAGAAAAGTAATACACATTTCTTATCGTTAATTTTGCTTATTTATTTTAAAAATTGTAGTGATTGGTTTGAATATGTAGCTGACTGAATAGGTTATATGTGTATACTCATTTTAATTTAACATTCCATGTTTGTTTATTTATTTATTTATTTAGGATTTGTGTCTGATGTGTGGAAGTTTTGGTAAAGGTGAAGAAGGCAAGTTGCTTTCTTGTGCACAGTGTGGTCAGTGTTATCATATTTACTGTGCAAATATCAAAGTAAGTAACAAAGAAAAGTGAAAGACACTCTTGACATTGCTGCAAATTATTTTGTTAAAAATATAAATTATACTTACCTTTTTTGCAATACTAATTATTTAATTTAATTTTTAAATAATTTGATTTCTTAAATTTTGTTATTAATATGTGAAGTGAAAAATGAATGCTATCAAATTTATCTGTATCTGTTTATCGTATGCTGCCTGGTGCAATTTTAGGCGGTATGTTGGAACTGCTTTTTTTTATGTGAATAATTTTTGAGTTTTAAAATGTTTTGCATGTTCTTTTCTTATAGCTGTGAAATGTCATGTCAGTGTGTACAAATATTTTTTGTTAAAGTTTATGCTGTATAACATATTACATGTACACATGCATTTAAATTGTGTTAGTGTATACAAATATTTTTTGTTAAGGCTCATGCTGTTAACACATTAAATTTGGAGCTTATATGTAGTTTTTGTAATTTTTAAAGAAAATAACATTAATGAATATTTTTGAGATCTGTGTAACTTGACTTGTGTAACTAACATTTTGGTTTCAACTTTTTTAAATTTCTGGTTTTGCAAATATGTTAAGAGTAATTTATGTTGTTGAAATATATACAGGCATGAATAAAATTGGTTTATGCTAATATTTTTCAAATCTAATAATCAGTTATTCTCATAAATGATTAACAGTTTTTCTGTAAGATAAAATATGGCCTGTATTTTATATGAATATAATGGATGCCTATAACATTCATTTAGTAAATGAGCAAAGTCGTTAAATAAATATTGATGTTATGTTCCTTGACATCTGTATGAAGGGCACTCAGTTTACAAATGAAAGCATGTAAAAAAATTATTGCATATTTCTAAAGTCTCCATTTGAACAATTTATGCATGTTGTCATACACTGAAACTATTTTTTAAGGCTATTGAATAACTGATCTTATCTGATGCTTCTTAGAATTTGTTCGAATGCTGCTTTGGCTTTATCCAGCAATGAAAACTATTATCTTCTCAGTTCTTCCTTTCCCCATAGAAACAATATTTTTTGAGTCCAAACCAAAGGAATATGGCACGTAAGGCAGAATTGCTTAATTTTTTTTGTTGCTGAAATTTATGGTTTTGTAGTTGTGTGGACAGCTGCTTTGATGAAATCCAAATTCAGTCTTCAAAGGCCAAATTCTATATCATTTTGGATTATTTTCAAGTATTGTATATAAGCAAATCCTTGCATATTTTTCTGCTGTGTATATACATTATGTCTTCTTCAAAATTATGAAGCTAAAGCCATGTACACATGCAGTTTAATCATATGCAATTGTTTACTTTGTTGTAGTATTTGAAAAGCTAAAACACTAAAGCACACTTGCTGAAAACTGGGAGACTGTTGCATCTTTAAATGATGTGACAATTATTATGTCAGGACTTCTTTCTTTTCTTGTTTTTATTAGTGATTTTAAGTAGAATCAGTTATAAATTTCTGTTTAATCAGCTGTTCATATCCCTTTCATAACTTGTAATGATTTTTGAAACACTTTGGATATTATTATATTAAAAAAAATTCTTTTATCAGTGCATGACTCTTTTTCTCAGAGATGAAAGTTCATGAATTGATTTTTTGGACGTTCTTAGTATACATATGATGATACAGCAATGTTCACTAATGAGCTTTTCTACCGCAGCAACATTTTTTGCTGTGATTGAAGTATATAGATAGCATTTATGAATATAATTTTTTCAAGAATTCCATTCCCCCCTGCTTAGAATGAATACCTTGTTTAAATACTGAGATACATGTAAGGTCTTTATGTTCCAATTATTATGCAAACTTTTACAAAATTTTTAAACAATAATTATGCATTTAATTTAATCTTTTTTTTTAATATAAAAGTAAAGCCGAAAAGTCTTTTCTATTCAGGCATGATTTTCTCAGGAGAGTGTCTTTGGCACATGTTATGGACATTCAGCAAACATAAGCAAAAGGAAATTATGACATAGAGTAAAAAGAAACCAAAAAGCATAAAATGTAGACAGAAAGAGGGCATTGGAATGAAATATTTGGTTGTCATAAAAACTGATGGTCTCAAACCTTTTTTAATGCTCTATGTAGAGTATCAATTTTAAGTTCAAATAGCAAGGGAGACAATTTAAATTTTACTTCTTGTTTACTTTGCTTTCTTTTTTTTTCTTTTTGAACTAATTGCTAATGGAAATTTAAGTGAATTTGTGCAATGTTTAGTATCCTTTTTGTTAGTTCTGTTTGAGAGAAGTATCTTAGAATATGCCATTAAATTAGACCAGCATTGAATGTTTTTAAGATTATTCCTAACAAATCGGTAAATGTTTATTACCAATTATTTATGCTTAATGTCTAATGAGAATTTGTGAGTTTTAATATTGTCATTACTTCAAATATTTAACTGTCATGCAATCGATGATTGAATATCACTATGAGCAGATCACTGATCCATCCGTCTTTTGTTTTGCAAGAATGGAGTTGCATAATTGCAGGTTTGCTATTATTGAGTATTGCCATTATTATTATTTTTAAGAGTGCTGAATTCAATAATATATTCACATTTGAGTTGTGAAAGTGTGTAGAGGAAGTATAATGAATTCTCTCATGGCAATCTTTTCCCTAAAAAGTGTTGTCATAATGTAGTTATCAATATTTATTAGTGTGTAAATATAACCTTTCATTTACAATTGCCTTCATGACTACAGAAGACTAAAACTATATGAAACAATAGGTGGGCACTTTAACTGAGTTCATTTTATTTTTAATATGACATATTTATAATTTGGGCAAGTTTTAATAATGACATTAAAATTTTTTTATTTAAGAATGTTTTATTTTTTATGAATTACTAAGCAATATTATGTAAATTTTTCATTCTGAATAAATTATTTATTTTTATTAACAATTAGGTTACAACCGTAGTATTAAAAAAAGGATGGCGCTGTTTGGATTGTACAGTTTGCGAAGAATGTGGTCAACCTCATGATGAGGGCCGTCTGCTACTGTGTGATGAATGCGACCTGAGTTTCCATACTTATTGTTTGGACCCTCCTCTAGAAGAAGTTCCTACTGGTAACTGGAAATGCAAGTGGTAAGTATATTGAAAATGATTTGATATTAGAAATATCTTTTACTGAGTCTTTCACAATGTTCTGGCTGCGGCATTATGTCACATTGCAATAGGTTACATTCCCAGGGCATTTTGTCATCCACTTGACCTCACAAGTGTTATTGCTGTGTGAGAATAAGATGTGTACTTTCTGTGTGGCCTAGCAGGTAATGTTTCCAGAATGTTGCCATTTAATACATTGTAAAATCTTTGTCTTTCAAATTATTAGTAATTTATATAATTTAAAAAATATATAAATTACAATATATAAATTAATATTTGTGGAAATTTGCAATATTATTTTAACTAATAAAAGGTGTTTGCAATGCTAGTTATTACAAACGGTAAGACCCCGCTTAACGCGGGGGATCCGTTCCATCAAAGTAGAGCGTAATGCGAAACAGCGCTAAACGAGGCTATCTTAACATGTAAATAATGGAGTTAGGGGAAGATGGATAGAAAATTGGTTAAGTATTAAATTTATAATAATTTTTTTTAATAAAAATAAACCAAACATTTATTTATTACAAAAATAAAACAATATAAACGAATATACTATAAAAACAAATAAAATTCTAAGCCAGTCAGATCATTCAGTCTATTCTGTGTTTCCAATTTTCTGCCTTTTTGTCAAGAAGGCTTTATGATAGATTGGCTTAATGGCATACTGCGTTCAATTTCGTTGTCAGTCCATATAGACAGTCGTTTTTCCACTTCTTCTATAATGTTATTTCTAGAACAGGTAATCCTAGTTGCAGAGCTTGACGTATTTGCAGTTGCCGATGACAGTATTTTTTCTTTATTCTTAAGAATTGTCCTTATTGTTGAGTTGCCAATTCAATGCAGCACTAATTTGAGATTGACTCTCACCAGAATCTAATCTTCTAATCACTTGCATTTAAGTTTCCAGTGAAATGCTTTTTCTGGTTGCTTTCTTTTCTTTTTTTTATTATCACCCATGATAAAAACTAAAGATCATAATATTTGTTACTGTATTAATCGTTATAGTAATATATAAATTTATACTTACAATAATGTCAACGAATGTTTCAAATGATAAAAATGCGTCTGCACTTCACCTGCACCAAACAAGAACATAACACTGTTCCATATATGTTATTTGGAAACCTACCGCTGCGCACAATTCGAATCCCGTATTCATGCGCACAATTTCGGGGAATCCCCAGGTTGAAATAAAAGCGCTAAACGAACAGCGCTAAACGAAACAGTGTTAAGCGGGGTCTTACTGTATAATTTAAATGATTAAATTCCTTTTAAACCTGTGATCTCACCGCTTTCTGAAGACATGAGATTCTCTTAAATTATGTAGTATGACAACCATTTATGAAAATAATATTCTTTAATATATTTTGTTGATTCTGTTTTCATTTATCATTTTTGTCTTTGGGTTATGAAAATAAAAGGTTATTTATTTCACAAGGCATAAAGCTGCACAAGCATAGCATTTTGTAAGTGACTTTAAAATGCTGTTGCTATGAAGGTTAACATATATATATTTCAGTTTATTGAATGCCTTATAATTTATTATTATGACAATAATATTGGCATTCAAAGCATCTGTAATTTATTCTTTTCTCTTTTTGCATTATACGAGGGCCATCCAGGAAGTAGATTACGTTTCCGTCTGTGTCCGCTAGGGCCGGGGCTAGCGCGGCCATCTTGGGGTCAGAGCGTTGCGCAGCCAGTCTGCATCTAGCCGTGCTAGTGAGAGGGTCTGCTGGCTCCGTTCAGACGGTACGGGTTTGAAGGCTGTAAGGAAAATCCGCGAGCTGCGAGGTGCGTCGTTATAAGTTCGACGAAAAACGGTAAACCGAGAAATCTATCGCAGCTGTGAAGTTAGGGGACAAACATTATCACTGAAGGTGGAGTTCCTATACTTTGTTATTTTTTTTTAATTCCAAAAGAATTACTTTGGATAGCCTCGTATTATAGTTACCTAAGAGTTTAGCATTCAACATGGCAAATCAACTTTCGATAAACGTTGCTGTTCCATCTGCACTAGATTTTAATTATTATCCACAATATGGAAAATGCTTTGTTCTCAATAGGCAAAACTCTGATAAGTATAAAATTTGCTTTAATGCAAACTAGCAATTAAGATATATAATTTTTAATTAATATAAAGGAAAGTAAAAAAAATATAAGTTTTTAAAGTTATTTATTTATGTGTCAGGGCTGATTGTGGTCTGTATGTAGCCAAAATTCTGGATTTTGTATTCTCAAATCTGGAGCTTCTGGATTTGAAATATTGCATATACACATAGTCATCATTATGTATTGTGTTAAACTGTATGGGTTGGTAATCTTCATTGACAGTAATCTTGAACATAAATGTCCTTGATTAATCCTGTTCTGCATTGTGAAACAACTATTTTTACTGGTTTGGCAAAATTAGCAAAATATCATTTCAGGAGACGAAAGCATTTCTATTTTGCCAAAAGTCAAACTTTCAATTAAATAATCACTCTTCTTATACAGAAAGTTGAACAAATATCCTCTTCCCACATTTTTTTTTTTTTTTTTGCGCTGACATAAATCATATCCGATGTTCCAATAGATCGTTTTAAAAAACCAGACCAGGGATAAATAGAAGGGCTAGCTCATTTCTTTGTTCGACTCCTCGCCGACGCGAGCCTAATGGGGGACGTAACAGGCAATAATCTGACGTCACTGTGATGCCACCTGTCCTGATTTCCCGCGTTTAAAACAGTAGTTTCATTGAGCTGCGAGACGATTTTCTAGAGGTTACATATCCCAAATTAATTTTAATAATATATATATCTGTTTTCTAATAATGTATATATTTAAAATAATTTATATATATGTAATTTTAGTCAGTTTTTATTTTAAATTCTATATTGTAAAGTATCGTTTACGTAATATGGCTTTTTGCGCTGCAGTAACGTGCCGTAGCACTTACAGAAGTATGAAAGGATGAGATATTTTATTTCATGGGACCAAAGGATCCAAATGAGAGTTTGCTTTTGACGAAAGAATGGATACACAAATGTCAAAGAGAAGATTCTATTAATGTGAAGAGCGGAAAAATCTGCAGCGAACATTTTCTATGCAGTGTTTATGAAGATGATATGAAAAATCGCTTGTTTGGATAGCCACAAAAAGAAACTGTTGAAATGGAATGCTGTGCCGAAAGTAAATTATGATGACAATAATAAATCGAAATAATAAATCAAATTTTAATGATTTTGAAATAAAACTCACAAATGAAAATGTAGATCATCCTGAATGTTTAAGGATAAACAAGAATGCATTGATAATTTGAAGAACAAAATAATATCCTTAGAAAATTGTATTAAATTGTATTAAAGTATTGAAAAATAGAGAAAAGAAAAATTTTAGAATGTTTGTTCAGCGACAAAGAAGGTGGACGACATCTAGACAGAAATTGGTATCAGAAATTAAAATCTCAAATAGCGAAATTTGGGGGGGGGGGGAGCACAAATCGGAGAATTTGGAAAAATGTCTAAAGCCTATTTTTATAAAGACGCAGATTAATGCATTACTGAAAAAGAAGAAAAAATCAGGTGGACTAGTGAAATATTTCACGTTGCATTGTCATAAGAGCTCTGTCATCTTAAAGCTATGATTTTTGGAAAAAAAAAATAAGAAAAAAATTGGAATATCTTTACCTAGTATTATCAAATTAAAGAAATGGTGTTTATTTTATTTTTTAGTGTTTTCTAAATTTTAGTGTAGTCCAAGAATTCAAAGTAATGTTCTTACTCTAAAGAAGGAAAGAGGCGAATATTTGTATTCTGTAGAAAAAATATGCGTTCTCAGTTTCGACGAAATGCATATAGATTGAAAACTCTGCTATGACTCTAAACTGGACTAAGTTGGTTCTTTTCAAAATGTGCAGTTTGTTTTAATCAGAGGTCTCATTTCGCGCTCTGCCTCAAATTACTGAGAAACCGCGTTTTAGATAGAGGATTTGTTTTAGAAGATGTAACTGTTTTAAATTTTGATATTATTAAAGAGGTTTTAAATAGAGATTGAGAAGAAATCAAATTGTGTCACAAACTAAAACCAAATTATTTAATGGTCAAGGGAAACGAGAGACAAAAAGTCGCTCCAGAGAAAACATTATTTTCAAAAAGTACCGCAAAAGGTATACTCTACCCCACAGGAAATCAGAAAGCATCTGACTTCTATGAGTTAATCGATAATATCTTCGGTATTATGAATAGTACCAAAATAGTACCAACAAGAATAACAAGTATTTAACAAACTAATTTTGTTAAGTACTTGTTAAAGTTATTCTTATTGTATCCTTTGTAACTAATTATTGATTAGATTTTGTGCTAGATTAGCATTCTAGATAAAATATAATAGTATAAAACATCAAAGTAATTGGCATAAAAAGACCTGCTTCCTTTACTCACACTTTTGAAAAATTAAAT